CCCTGTCCCCAAGTGCCACATCCACAGGGCTTGGAAATCCTCCAGGGCTGGGCACTCCAAACCTCCCTGGGCAGCCCCTGCCAAGGCCTCACCACCCTTTCCAGGAGGAAATTCCTCCTCCTGTCCCACCTGAGCCTCCCCTGGCACAGCTGGAGGCCGTTCCCTCTCCTCCTGTCCCTTGTTCCCTGGCAGCAGAGCCCGACCCCCCCCGGCTCCCCCCTCCTGTCAGGGGGTTGCAGAGCCAGAAGGTCCCCCCTGAGCCTCCTTTGCTCCAGGCTGAGCCCCCCCAGCTCCCTCAGCCCCTCCTGCTGCTCCAGCCCCTTCCCAGCTCCCTTCCCTTCCCATCTCCTCCATGTCCTTCTTGTCCTGAGTAGAAAACAAGCCATTGAGTCCCTCAAACTTTTCCTCATCCTTTATGTTTCCCCCCCATGGAGATTCTCCCTCCTTTTGCTGCTGATATATTCATATAAACCTTTTTAAGTCTTTTGTGGCAGTAACCACATGAAATTCTTCCTGGGCTTTGTCCCTTCTCGTTTTCTCCCTGGGTGACCTCACGACACCCTCGTCCCCCTGAGTTCCTGCCCCTTCTTGAAATGTTCCAAACTCCGTGTTCTGGTTTAATTCCTGCTGTTTGCACAGCCCAGGGCATTCAGTGCTCACCTGCTGGGCAGAATTCAGACTCGAGATGGAAAACAAGTCCCAATTTCCTGGGGGTGGAAGGGCTCGAGCCCTGGGAAGTGACCCAGGGATGTGTTTTTGGAACAAACTCTGAGGGGAGAAAACAAACATTTTTCTCTCTCCTTTGCCCCTGAAATGGAGGCTCAAAGAGATCAAAGGCAAAGGCTAATTTGGGTGCTGTGTTTGGGGTACCCTGGGCCTGGTTTTGGGGTGAGTTTGGTGCTCCCAGCTCAGCTCCTGCTGGTCCCTTCTCTTCCTGAAGTGCCAACTCCAGCCCAACTCACGGGAACATAAACGTGCCAACAGCTTTGAGCCTTGACTTAATAGATTGAAATGCTGAAACACAGCAGGAGTTTTGTTCAGAACACGAGTGCAGCTCAGGAAAGATGAAGGTGTGTAAAATTAATGCCGACGAGAGGAGAAAATGAGATTTTTTTAAAGATTTCTGGCACTTCCACTTCAAAACACCCTCATCAGGGCTGTTCTTTTGTCACCCTTCCCACCTCCCCCCCGTCCTTGGAGTGTCCTGATCCCGGGATCAGGGCCTGTCATCCCAGGAATTCTTGTCTGAGCCCCACTTTTTAACCAGGCATCAGGTGTGTCCCTGCTCCCCCTCCCTGCACTGATCCTATTTAGATGGAAGGATACAAAAGCCCCGTTAGCCTGAGCTAATCTGAGTAATCAGAATTATTTAACAGCCTTGTTTTCTCTGTACTGAGTGAATGTAGCACATCCAGGAGATCTTCCTGTGCACAAGGAAACCCTGATGAAAGCTCCTAAGCACCAGACTAAATTAAAATCGCTCATAATGCCCATTGAAACCTTACACAGGAGTTTTAATGAGATATTGCTGATTAGAACTAGTTCCAGGATACCTGTCTTTATCCCTTTTTCCTTGGGATTTAGCAGTAATTTGTATTTTAATGGCCCAACACTGTCCTTTTGTACAGCTCTATTAGATCCTTTCAGATTTTATCCCTCCCCCTTTTGATGGGAAGAAAAATTCCACGGGATTTTCACAATCCAGACATTACTCTGGATTTTTACTCATTGTCCAACATTCCAGCCCTTCCCCAGAGTGTGGGTGAAGGTGAAGCCTTTGGAGTAATCACAGTTGTTATCTGTAGGAGTGAGTGAGCTGGTCATAGAACCATGGAGTCCTGGGATCATGGAATGGTTTGGGATGGAAGGGACCTTAAAGCTCATGTTATCCCAACTCTTTTCCACGGGCAGGGACACCTTCCACCAGCCCAGGCTGCTCCAACCTGGCCTTGGACACTTCCAGGGATCCAGGGGCAGCCAGAGCTTCTCTGGGCAACCTGTGCCAGGGCCTCCCACCCTCCCAGCCAGGAATTCCTTCCCAATATCCCATCTATCCCTGCCCTCTGGGTTTCCTTCATTTCCCTCTTTGGCTTGGGCAGATCCTTTGGATTTTCCTCATTTCCCTCCTTTCGGATTTCCTTGTTTCTCTCCTTTGGGTTGGGCAGATCCTTTGAGATTCTCTTATTTCTCCCCTTTGGGTTTCCCTCATTTCTCCCCTTTGTCTTGGGCTGTAAATCTCCCAGGTCTCTTTTGCTGTAGGAAGATCTGAGGGTCTTCTCTGAACCTAAAACATCTCAAAAATTTAAATATTTAAACATTTTAAAAGTGTAAAATTTAAATATTTCTGCTGCCTCGGCCTGAAGTCAGCACAAATATATCAGCGAGTAATTCCAAGTCACCCCACCAGGATGTCACCTTTGGTAATTCCCAGGTCTGGGATGGCCTGGAAACCCCTTTTTGGGTGTCCCTGTGTATAGAAGGGTGAATTATTCCCTGTCCCAGGAGTTTGGGAGCGGGTGGGATGAGAGGAGGGGGGGATTCCACTGTCACTGTGTAGCGACCGTGGCTGAAAGTGGAGCAGAAAACAAGAGGGGACTTTGCCACTGCACATGTCTGGGAATGTTTTCCTCCTGCCATTCCCATTTTCCTCCTGCCATTCCCATTTTCCTCCTGCCATTCCCATTTTCCTCCTGGCATTCCCAACCTTCACGTTGTCCCTATTTGCTCCCAGCTCATTAAAGGAGCACCTGAGCACTGCCCTCATCCCAATCCTCCCCTTATCCATCCCAAATCCACACCTGCAGCAGAGCTGGAGGTTCCCCTCCCGAATTCCAGTCAATTGGAATAAATAATTTGCAATTGAGTTCCTGCTGCAATTCTGTGGATTTAAACAATCTTAATTGTCTTCAGGGGGGAAAAAAAATTAAATCATTAATCTGTGGTTTGATCATGGCATTTAATCAGTTTGTAGCAATTAATTCCCAGTATTTCCACCATAATTATTATTAATTATAATTCATTCCAACCATTTCTTTAAAAACAGTTAATTTTGTGTGTGATTATACATGCACAGACCTGAAAACTGTCTCATTCCTCTTTAAAACAAAGGAATATATGTATTTGTTTGTATATTTATATATATATATATTCAGCAGACTGGCTGAGTGGCTCCAGGTTTGAGGATATGCTGAGTTTAGAACTGTCTGCAGTTCAGCTCCTCTGGGAACCAGGGGAGTGTGAATTCATCAGATGCCTCTGAGGCTTGTAAATGTGTCACCTTGTTTTCTAAAGCTTGTCTTCCTGAAGCAAGAGCAGAGCAACAGCTGGGAAAATGCAACATTTCACTCCCAGGCAGATATTTATAAGGAAAAACAGGGATTTCACCGGTGGTGTCACGTTAGCACTGGTCAATGTGGGACCATTGCTTAAGGTTTGTTCAAAAAAATACCTTTTTACTACAGAAATTCAACGTGGTGTCAAATCTGGAAATGGGCAAAGAAGGCACGAGAGGATTTTTGGCAACAAAAAACCCTGAAAGAAATTGGATTTTTTCCACAAACAGGCTGTGGCCAAAGCGATTCTCTCCTGACTGATTCAGGAGCTTTTCAGGGAGATTGGGCTGGGAGGGAGCAGGAGCTGAAGTATTTTTGTTTTCTGTCTGCTTTGTGTAACTGAAGTACAAGTGGTTACCCTGGGAATGAGGGATCTGTCTTTTTTACTGAGCTATTAATCATCTTCCAGCTCTATGTCTAGAGACAGCAAAGGACAGAATCACTGAGCCTGCCTGGCTAAAATGGGCCTGTTGTGCTCTCTATTTTGGTCCAGAGGATTTCCAGCTGTAAATCTGGGCTTTTGCAGCACTGGAAAAAAAAAGGCTTTTTTTTTTTTTAGTACATTTAATGTGCTATTTTCCAAATGAATTGGAGCACCAGAGTTTGATGGGATGTGGGTGGCAGTGTCTTTCTACACCTGCATCAGGGATGAAAGGTGGGTTTAAATGGCTTCAAACTGGAAGAAAGTAGGTTTAGATGGGATATTGGGAAGGAATTCCTGGCTGGGAGGGTGAGGAGAGGCTGGGATGGAATTCCCAGAGAAGCTGTGGCTGCCCCTGGATCCCTGGAAGTGTCCAAGGCCAGGTTGGAGCAACCTGGAATAGTGGAAGGTGTCCCTGCCCATGGCAGGGGTGGCACTGGATGGGCTTTAAACTCCTTTCCAACCCAAACCATTCCAGGATTCTGTGGCTCTGGTACTGCCCAGAAGGCAAAGCCCTTTGAAAGCAGGGAAGCAAATTCCCAAACTGTGCCCAGAGTTCCTGTCAGGTTGGTTTTGGCTCCACAGGGATCCCTTTACACCTCCTCGGGCATTTAAAGATCCCTAAAGTGACCAAAACTGCCCAAAGCCAGAATTTCCAGGTCTTTTGTGGTTCCTTTGGGCTGCCAAAGATGTGGAAAACAGCTGTGACAGAACTGGCACTGCTGCCCAGCCTGGCTGAGTGGGCTTGAGCTGAGGCAGCAGCTCTGCCCTGAGCTGTTCCTGCAGCGTTTGCAGCACTGCAGGTTCCTTGCCCTCAGAGTTTGCACCTCCTTCACCCTCTGCTTTCCTTCCAGCTGGAAACAGGAGCAATTCCCGAGCTCTGGGCCTGGATCAGGGCACTGTGCCGAGCTGGAAGCACAGTCAGGAGTCTGCTGGGAGCTGGGTTGGAACTGAGCCCCACCACGGCCAGGCTCCTCCACAGGGCAGGGGGCTCCAGCAGCAGTGGATTCATAGAATTCCCTGAGCTGGAAAGGACTCACAGAATCAAATCCAACTGCGGGCCCTGCCCAGGACACCCCAACAATCCCACCCTGTCCCTGGGAGCGTTGTCCAAACCCTCCTGGAGCTCTGGCAGGTTTGTAGGTTAAGGTGATTTGCCTCCCTGTCGTCTCCTCGTTGATTTGGGGCTTTCTAGGACACGTTTACCTGCTCTCTTCTTCCTTAATTTCTTCTCCTGCCTGCTTTAGGTGTCCACCCTGCCATGGAGGAGCATCTTCACCTGCTGATGGGTCAGAAAACTTGCAGAATCATTGAGGTTGGAAAAGTCCAGCCAGCACCAATTCATCCCCAAGGTGCACATTAAAGACAAAATGATGTGAGTACAAAGATATGGATGAATTGTGGAATCCCTGAGGCTGGAAAAGCCCTCCCAGCCCATGGATCCCCCCTGTGCCCGATGCCCACCTTGTCCCCCAGCCCAGAGCACTGAGTGCCACGGCCAGGCCTTCCTGGGACACCTCCAGGGCTGGGCACTCCAAACCTCCCTGGGCAGCCCCTGCCAAGGCCTCACCACCCTTTCCAGGCAGAAATTCCTCCTCCTGTCCCACCTGAGCCTCCCCTTGATGCTTAATAGGTTGATCACCCAGTTCTCTGGACTCACTGACACCTCTTTGCCCCACAGAGAAGCTGGTCTGAGATGTGTCAGACAAACCATATCATGTCTCACCTCCCCCGGTGAAACAGGATCTACACAAAGGTAGGGGCAGGAAAAGCAAAAATAATATGATTATTAGAATTCTGCAGTGCAAGTTGCATCTTTTTATCCTGACAAAAAAAAAAACCCAAAACACTGGGGCATTGTGAGACATGGAATTAATGGAGACAGCCCTGATTAAATGGGTGGCTGCTTCTCGTAGTAATAAAAGAATTTATGGAAGACCACAGCAGTTCAGCACAGATCAGCTTAAAATACATTCTGAGGCTAATCATGGAGCCTGAGAGCTGTGCAGAGAGTGCTGAATTAATCAGGGGCTCTGGACTATGAAGCACTGGGAAAGGGAGAAAAGAGAAAGGGCCTCGTGTCTGCTCAGTGAACTGCCTGGAGCTGAAACGGTGCCCAGGGACCCCTGGAACAGGAGTCAGCAAAAGGAGTGACCTTCATTAGCCCAGTGCTGACTGGGCACTTTCTGGGGCTGCTTTCAAATGGCTCAGGGAAAGAAATGTCAGGGGAAAAAAACCATGTGCTTGGAATCAACAGCAGTTCCCGGCCTGGTTTCAGAGGAGGGGCCTGTTTGGGGCCTCTGAATGACAGCAGGATTTGGGCTTTGTTGCCAGGTGCCTGCCTTGTTATTTAGTCTGTTTAGCCCTCAACTCTCCAGGGCAAAAATGGGTGTAATAATTCCTCTTTCCTCTCCAGTTCTGTCTTGTCTGTTGGGTTTGAAAGCATTTCAGTGCAGGGTTAACCTTCTTTCCCATAAATACCCCTGTGCTGGGCACAGAGTGCGTGGGGACCCTGCAGGGACACTTTGTCTCGTGTCACAAGTGATTGTGAGGTGTTTTTCTTTGCCTGACCATTAATGTAAGGGGACAGAAATGGTCCTGTCTCCCTGCCAGCATCTCCCAGAGCTCCCTGGGATGCAGGTGGGAGGTGGAGGCTCCAGTGGGCACCTTTCTGGGGTGGATTCCCTGCAATTAGGACATGAATTGCATGAGCTGGTTGTTCAGGTAGCAAATGCACACATTGCTCCATTTATTCCAGCCAGGAGTGTCCCTGCAGCAGGAGAGAATTCTCCCTGCTGGGAGAGAATTGGTGCAGAGGCAATTCCTGCAGTGAGGAATGTCCATCAGGAGGTGGGGAGGGAAGTACCAACCTCTCTGAAGAGAGCTGGCAAAGAGAGCCCTGGGGTCTCCTGGGATTTTGTGCAGGTCCCAAATGATGCCACAGGTTTATGTCCTGGAATTGTTTCCCCGTGTGCAGATCCCAAATGATCCCCCAGGTTCATGTCCTGGAATTGTTTCCCCAGGGATTTTGTGCAGATCCCAAATGATCCCACAGGTTGATGTCCTGGAATTGTTTCCCCAGGGATTTTGTGCAGATCCCACATGATATCCCCCAGGTTCATGTCCTGGAATTGTTTCCCCATGTGCAGATCCCAAATGATCCCACAGGTTCATGTCCTGGAACTGTTTCCCCAGGGATTTTGTGCAGATCCCAAGTGATCCCCCAGGTTCATGTCCTGGAATTGTTTCCCCAGGGATTTTGTGCAGATCCCACATGATCCCCCAGGTTCATGTCCTGGAATTGTTTCCCCACTTTCCCCCCCTCGTACTCCCCACAGGGACTCTGAGCAGCACAGCAGGAGTTTTGGGCACCCTGAGCAGTGTCCTCTTCAGGAAATTGTTTCACCCTTGGAGGCTGCAAGGACCTCTCTGAGTTCCCCATTCCCACGTGTGTGAGGAGGTCACTGGTGGTGGCACATCCTGAAAAAATTATGGAGTCCTGGAATGGTTCGGGTGGGAAGGGACCTTAAAGATGATCCAGGGCCACCCCCTGCCATGGGCAGGGACACCTTCCACTGGCCCAGGTTGCTCCAAGCCCTGTCCAGCCTGACCTTGGACACTTCCAGGGATCCAGGGGCAGCCACAGCTTCTCTGGGCACCCTGTGCCAGGGCCTCCCCACCCTCCCAGCCAGCAATTCCTTCCCAATCTCCCATCTCTCCCTGCCCTCCGGCAGTGGGAAGCCATTCCCTTTGTCCTGTCCCTCCATGCCTTGTCCCCAGTCCCTCTCCAGCTCTCCTGGAGCCCCTTTAGGCCCTGCCAGGGGCTCTCAGCTCTCCCTGGAGCCTTCTCTTCTCCAGGGGAACCCCCCCAGCTCTCCCAGCCTGGCTCCAGAGCAGAGGGGCTCCAGCCCTGGAGCATCTCTGTGGCCTCCTCTGGACTCTCTCCAGCAGCTCCACATCCTCATGTTATTGTTCCCAGGGCTGGAGCAGCTCTGCAGGGGGTATCTCACCTGAGCAGTCAAGGGGAAGAATCCCCTCCCTTGACCTGCTTGGATATGTCCTTCCATGGACCTTGGATATGTCCTTCCATGGACCTTGGATATGTCCTTCCATGGACCTTGGACACATCCCTGGGCAGGAGGTGAATCCCCCACGAGGCCCATCTGCTCTGAGCTGCCTCAGCAGCCCCCACATCACCCCAGAAGGCTTCTCACCCTGCAGAACTCACAGCAAAAAAAACTTCAGGGGAGAATGATGCTGATAAGAACAAACAGAGAGATTAAGCCCAGCTCCTCCAAGCTGTGTTTAGCCCTCTAATTCCCATGGCAAACAGGAATCCTCAGGGGCTTGGCACGAGCTGAGCCAGTTAGAAAAGCATCAAGATTAGACAAAGCTGAGTTTGCTTTCCTTTGATCTGTAACTCTCTCCTGGTTTTTAAGGATAAAACGTGAGGCAGGAGGCCTTTCCCAGAGCAGGGAGCAGAACCCCCAGCTCCCACTGCCAGGGGGGCTCTGTAGGGACCTCTGGAGGAAGGGATGGGGCAGGAGGTGAGGTGGGAACTTGTGTTTGTGGTGGCAGCAATCTGGAAGTGTGGCAGCTTTGCCATTTATCCCAGAATCCCGCAATGATTTGGGTTGGAAGGGACCTTAAAGCTGATTTTGTTCCACCCCCTGCCATGGGCAGGGACACCTCCCACCAGCCCAGGTTGCTCAGAGCCCCATTTAGAGACAGGCAGCACTCCCAAAAACCTCCCCAGCCATAAACCAAAACACTCCTGAGTTTTAAAATTGCTTTGTGCAAAAATATTGATATGCCCTTCAAAAGTTTCATTTTGCTCACTGTATTTTCTTCTACAGAAACTCCCGTTCCAGGAACACCGGGAAGATGAAGAGAGAAGAAAATGAAGTCCCAGGGGATGACAGGCACCTCTTGGTGTTCAGGAACTCCTCATGACATGGTGTCTTCTTGCACTGATTCGTCCCCAAGGTGCACATTAAAGACAAAATAGTAGGAGTATAAAGATATGGATGAATTGTGGAATCCCTGAGGCTGGAAAAGCCCTCCCAGCCCATGGATCCCCCTGTGCCCGATGCCCACCTTGTCCCCCAGCCCAGAGCACTGAGTGCCACGGCCAGGCCTTCCTGGGACACCTCCAGGGCTGGGCACTCCAAACCTCCCTGGGCAGCCCCTGCCAAGGCCTCACCACCCTTTGCAGGAGGAAATTCCTCCTCCTGTCCCACCTGAGCCTCCCCTGGCACAACCTGATCCCATTCCCTCTCCTCCTGTCACTCTTCTGTACAATTACCCAATTAACTGGTTCTCCTTTAGATCCCAGCTCCTTGGATCATCCCCCATGCCATGGGTGATGATGGATCCATAAACCCCTGTACACAGCTCGGTGTTTTTGGGGAATATTCTCCAAGATGGGATTCCTACCTTAAGCAGCAGCTTTGTGTCCAGACGTGGCACTTGGGGAATGTTGCAGGACACACCAGTGGAGCCATTTCAGGGCTTTGGGAGGGATATCCTGAATAATCCCTATGGGAATATTCCATTATTACTGCTGCAGCTATTTTAGCATTTAGGGAAAGAGCCACCTGAGCCATCCATGGAGCCCCTCTGGATCTGGGATGGATCTCGTCCTGTCCCTTGTTCCCTGGGAGCAGAGCCCGACCCCCCCCGGCTCCTCCCTCCTGGCAATTACCTGGATCATCCCTTGTTCCCATTTTTCCAAGCTGTCTGTTCCTCCAGCAGTTTTTAGCTCATCATCTCAAACAGCTGTTCCGTGAAGCCTCTCAGTGTGGTACAAACCCCGGGATGCCTTTCATCGTGGCAGGTGAGGAGTTTAATGATGTCTCTGTGCTAACTGCCAGCTTTCATATTCCTCAGTCATTTTGTTGCAGCCCGTCCTGGTGCATCTGGTGGAAGAACAGCTGCTCAGTTAGATCCTGCTCTCAGGGATTCAGGAACTGGACACCAAACAAAACGTGGAGGGCCCAGGACTCGGCTCATCTGTGTGCTCAGAACCAGCCCCAGCTGCCTCAAGCTGCTGCTGAAGTGATTTTTTTCTAGAAGTAGATTGAAGGAAGGACCTCAAGTGCAGCTCAGATGTGGAAAAAAGACTCTTCCAAGTGAGGACAGTGTTTAGTGGCCTCAAAGTTTCCAGCAGATGGTTCCCCTAGGGCTGATCACAGCTTCAGCTCTCACTGATTTGGCAATTTTGGGTGGCTTCCTGCCAAAACCCACCTGAAAAATGGCAAGCAGAGAAGTTTGGGAAGTGGGACAAGAGCAAGGTCAGCTGGGATGGAACCAGCACCACTCTCCTGCCATCACCTCCAAGTATCAGGTTTGCTTTGTTAATGCTTCAGCACTTTGCTCCATTTCCCATATTTTTCCTGTATTTTTCCCATGTTTTTCCTGTATTTTCCCCATATTTTTCCCATAAGAGTGTGTTCTTATCCAGGAGGAACTAAAGAGTCTGGTAGGCCAAGGAAAGGTTAGCAGGTCTTGATCACCTTCCACAGGTTTACTCCTGTAAAATGTCAAGGAACAGGCAAAAACATTTTGAGGAAGGAAAGTGCTGGATTTGAAAACTTCTGTCGTGCTGCAGCTTTTTCCAGCTGTCCCGAACAACGAGATATTCCAGAGTTTTTTATTGGTTTGTTTTATAAAAACCATAAAACCATCTAAAAAAACCCTTCTTTTTTATCCTCTTTTTTTTTACTGCTTTTTCTTGACAAAGTAAAAAAAAAAACAACCCACCAAAAAGACCCAAAACACTACATAAAATCAATTTTCATTTAAATTTTTTATCATTTCCATCTGCAGGAGCTTAATTGCAGATCAATGGATTTTAATTGGCTTCTGCTCACCTCGGAGTTCCCATTTCAGCCACGCAGAAGAATTTGGAACAGCAACACAGGGGAGTTCCACCAAGGTGGAGCCTGGACCTGCTTGAGGGAGAGTTTTGGAGAGGCCTGTGGTTGGTAAGTGGTGAAAAAGGAGGAATTCAGTTGTATTTGGATGCTGTGAAGTAGTACAGGGGTTTTTGGACAAATATCCTGTCTTGGTGGAGGTGACACCACACATTCTTCTTTAGGAAAATAGGAAGAATTGGGTTAACTTGGAGCAGGAAGTTAAATCTCAGAGTAGAAAGAAAGTTCTTTACTCTGAGGGTGGGGAGGCCCTGGCCCAGGTTGCCCAGAGAAACTGTGGCTGCCTCTGGATCCCTGGAAGTGTCTCCAAGGCCAGGATGGAGCAACCTGGGACAGTAGAAAGTGTCCCTGGAACAAGATGGGCTTTGAGATCCCTCCAACCCAACCCATTTTATCCTTCTGCTCTTCTCTGATATTAAATCCACGAGCAGTTAAGCAGGTCCTGAGCACTTCATTTTAAACTGGAATTCAATAATATTTTTTTTTTACTTAATGGAAGGTCTTCAAAAATTACCCATTCAACCATTCACTGCTCCTTTGGAGAGGATTTTTGGAATGCAAGAAAGGACACCCTGGGGTTGGGTTCAGAGTTGTGGCCTTGGTGCTTTATCTCATGGTTTGACCCCACCACAGGAGCAATGTCTTATCTGAGGGACATCTCAGCAGCAGGACTTAGTGGGACCTCAGAGAAGAAAAATATGGAAAATTTTGGGTTCCAGCTCTTTGTTCCAAGTCAAAACAGGATCCCAAAGATTTCCCTGCTCCCCAGGGCTGCTGCAGCCAAAGGGGAGGGTTTGGTTGCTCAAAATTTACCCTAAGGCTGCATCTGCCCACAGAGGTGCCCTGAGCTTTAAGTTCATTCAGGAGTTCCCTCCTGAAGCTTCACCACATGAGGAGATCACAGATCATGGGTAGGTGTTGGTCTTGGCTCTTGTACCCACAGAGAAACACAGGGTACAGGTTTAGGTGGGAATTTTGCATCTCCCAGCCCCTCAGAAACATTTTTGCCCCAGAATTCCCCCTCCCATCACTTATTGCTTTCTCCACGTGAAGAAAAACATTTCCACGCTGGAACATTAAAAATCACAATTCCTTGGCCCAGGCACCCACGGAACTGCCGAGGTTCCCTTTGCCTCCATCACTGGTTATTGGGATATTTGTGGGAAACCAGCAGATATTCCATTTTCTCCTCAGAGTTCCTGCCCTGTCCATGCAGTCACAACCCAGGTTTGTGGCATTACCTGTTTGTCACCACAGGAACCATTCTGAGATCGGGTTGTCTGGCCAACCTCATCTCCTTTTATGACCAGCTGGCCCACCTGGAGGATGAGGGGAAGGTGTGGATGTGTCTGTCTGGACTTCAGCACAACCTGGGGCACTGTGTCCCACTGGATACTCCTGGAAAAGGCTTGGACAGGGGCACTCCCTGCTGGGTTAGGAACTGACTGGAGACCCAGAGAGTGGTGGGGATGGAGCTGCATCCAGGTGGGATCCATCACCAGTGGTGTCCCCAGGGATCAGTGCTGGGCCCAGTCCTGTTTAATGTCTTTATTGATGCTCTGGATGAGGGGATTGAGTCCATCATCAGCAAGTGTGCAGATGACACCAAGCTGGGGGGAGTGTCCATCAGCTGGAAGGCAGGAGGGCTCTGCAGAGGGACCTGGCCAGGCTGGATCCATGGGCTGATTCCAAGGGGATGAGGTTCAAGCAGGCCAAGGGCCGGGTCCTGCCCTTTGGCCACAACAACCCCCGGCAGCTCCAGGCTGGGCCAGAGGGGCTGGAGAGCAGCCAGGCAGGAAGGGAGCTGGGAGTGGGGATGGACAGGGAGCTGAACAGGAGCCAGAGTGTGCCCAGGGGGACAAGGAGGCCAATGGATCCTGGCCTGGCTCAGGAACAGGGTGGCCAACAGGGCCAGGGAAGTGATTCTGCCCCTGGACTCAGCGCTGGGGAGGCCACCCCTGGAGTGCTGTGTCCAGTTCTGGGCCCTCAGCTCAGGAAGGCCCTGGAGGGGCTGGAGCAGGGCCAGAGGAGAGCAACGAGGCTGGGGAAGGGACTGGAGCACAAGTGCTGGGAGGAGAGGCTGAGGGAGCTGGGGGGGCTCAGCCTGGAGAAGAGGAGGCTCAGGGGAGACCTCCTCACTCTCTGCAACTCCCTGCCAGGAGGGGGGAGCCGGGGGGGGTTGGTCTCTTTTCCCAGGCAACTCTCAGCAAGACAAGAGGGCTGGGTCTGCAGCTGGGCCAGGGGAGGGGGAGGTTGGAGAGCAGGAAGAATTTCTTTGCAGAGAGGGTGCTGAGCCCTTGGAATGGGCTGCCCAGGGAAGGGGGGGATTCTCCGTCCCTGGAGGTGTTTAAGGACAGACTGGATGTGGCATCAGTGCCATGGGCTGGGAACCACGGCGGGGTTGGATCAAGGCTTGGACTGGATGATCTCAGAGGTCTTTTCCAACCCGATCAATTCTATGATTCTGTGATTCTATCATCCCAAATCTGGCCTGTGGAGTTAATGAACAAATAAGGAGGTAAGAGCACTGATTACAAAAAAACCCCAAACAAACCATTGAAAACCTCTGCAATCAGCAGTAATAACAATAGAAAAAAATGCATGGCAGGTAATAAATGAGAAAATTCTCAGCATTAGAGTTGGAAAACTCTGCTCAGGTCCTGCAGTTTCCTCTGCTTTAATCCAAGAGGAATCTCCTGTCCGCTGCCTTGGAGAAAAATAACTGCTGATCAGATCTTCATTTGAAAGGAGGAATTCTCATTGCAAGGATAACGTTCCCCCAGTATCAGTTTCCAGAGTCTCATGGAGAGAAATATAAACCTGAAAATGAGCATGAACAAAAATATTGTCCTTTGCACATTTGGTTTTTCAATATTTAATACCGACAGATCATTTTTTTTATTATTATTATGTGATGAAATGAAAAGGAGCCAAGTAGGAGCCTGAGGGGAAAATAACTTCTTCTCTAAAGAGAGGAGTTTTATTATGAGTTTTTATTATTATGCTGGATCTGTCTGCAGGGTGTAATGAGCTGCTGGTTGATGGTGTGTCCTTGTCCAGAGGGCCAAGCCAAACCATTCCATGATATCCCTACAGGCTGTTCCTCCCACTGGCTCTTCCCAAATCACCCAGAGCAGGTCGGTGGGTTGGGGGCTGCCCCACAAACCCTCGGTGATGCTCAGGGGGGTTTGCAGCTCTCCCAGCATCCATCTGCACTCCCGAGGAGGACACTGGACGTGGAGAGACTTGTCTGCAGGACAATCCACGTCAGGAACGTGCCACAGATCCTTTGCTTCGTTCCCGTGGGAAAACATTTCCAAAAGACCGGGTTGGGCTGTCAGGCCATGGAAAGCTGGTGTTTGTGACAGAGTGTTCAGTAAACAGCCTCATTCCACGGGGATGGGAGGAACAACCACGTTTTCCAGCTCTTTTAGGGCAAAGGCTTTTAATGAAAGGATTTTAATCAAGAAGGTAGGCAGGATAAGCCACTAATTGATGTATTTGGCTGTCAGGCCAAGCCCCACACGACATCCTTTGGGGATGGGAGAGGCCAGGGAGGGCAGGAAAACATTAATATCAACAACTAAAAAACTCAATTATGCCCAAGCAGAGAAGAGCAAGAGAGGAAAAGCAGCTTCCAGGGCTCATCCAGAACAAGAGCACAATGGAATTATGTCTTCTCTGCATTTTATGAATAGTTGGCATTAATAATAACACAGGTGAACACTTGCAGAGAGGCTACAGCTTCTCTGGGAATTCCATCCCAGTCTCTCTCCTCTCTCCCAGCCGGGAATTTCTTCCCAATATCCCATCTATCCCTGGGAAGCCATTCCCTGTGTCCTGTCCCTCCAGGCCTTGTCCCCAGTCCCTCTCCAGCTCTCCTGGAGCCCCTTTAGGCCCTGCCAGGGGCTCTCAGCTCTCCCTGGAGCCTTCTCTTCTCCAAATCCCATTTGGAATTCCCATCTCTCACTATTACAAACAAACAGAGACTTAGATTTTGAATTTTCCAGGCTTTTCTGAGAAAGAAAGGAATGACCTTCAGATCTTAGAGGGAAAACCACTTTTCTCAAAGGTTTCAACAACAAGTGTGTGTTGAATTATCTGTGCTGCACAGAGAGAATTCTGCAATCTACAGGCACTTCTATTAATATAAAATGCTAATATTCATAGTTTATTTTATCCTCCTTCTCTTTAAAGTCAGCACTCCAGTCCTCATGTGTATCCTATCTCACCAGAGCGAAGAAATGTGACTTTATTTCTTATTATTTTACACTTGATTTCTTTTCAAACCCTCGGAATTTTTTTTTTTTTTATTTTCTCCTGAGGGTTTTTTGTTCTCAAATTTCTTGTGTTTTTTTTTTGTTTTTGTTTTTTTTTCACAGCTTCCACAGAGACTTCAGGCTCTTGTCAAAGCCTCCTTCTCAGCTCCCACGACAAGTGCCCTTGGATAAAGAAATGTTGTATTTTCAATGGTGAGGCAAATCAGAACTTCATTATTTCTCTTTCCAGCTACTTCAATCAACCCATTTCCTCTTCCTTATCGAGAGGCCCCATAGTAAAGTTTTCTTGACTTTTTAATAACTCTGATTTTGTTGTCCAAAGCTGTCGGGGATGCAAGGGAGGGTTTGAATTGCCAGTGTTTTGGAGACAGGAATGTTCCCACAAATCAAATGTCCTGGGGTGTTGGTTGGTGAGGTCCCACCTTCCTGCAAAGAGAGGTTTGAGGTGACCTCAACTTGAGTCTCCTCACAAGTCTCAGGCCGTGTGTCCATGAACTTTGTGTCTGAGGGCAGAACCTTCCCAATTTTGTCATATACAGGAAAAACACTTGGATATCTTCTCTCTTTTAATGGGATATTTTCAAGCAGTAATTTTATGTCTGTATGATCTTTATGGCATTATTTTATTTGTAGCTCTTGTCCATGTTCTACTTGACTGGGGTCTTTTTGGAGTCTGGGGCCTCTTGCTCCAGGAGGGCTCCAGGAGATGTTTCCAAGCAAAACACCCACAAATTCTCACAATTCTTGGGAGCTCTGCAACCAGGTCTGGGGTCCTCATCAAAAGAAAGGAAGGGACCTGTTGGAGCAAGGCCAGAGGAGGAAGGTTTTTGAGGGGCTGGAGCCCCTCTGGAGCCAGGCTGGGAGAGCTGGGGGGGTTCCCCTGGAGAAGAGAAGGCTCCAGGGAGAGCTGAGAGCCCCTGGCAGGGCATAAAGGGGCTCCAGGAGAGCTGGAGAGGGACTGGGGACAAGGCCTGGAGGGACAGGACACAGGGAATGGCTTCCCAGTGCCAGAAGGCAGGGAGAGATGGGAGATTGGGAAGGAATTGTTCCCTGTGGACCCTGGCCCAGGTTGCCCAGAGAAGCTGTGGCTGCCCCTGGATCCCTGGAAGTGTCCAAGGCCAGGTTGGAGCAACCTGGGATAGTGGGAGGTGTCCCTGCCCATCTCAGGTAGCTGGAACTTGATGATCTTCACAGTCCCTTCCAACCCAAACCATTCCATGATTCCAGGATTTACCTGTTGGACACAACACCAGCACAGCCCAGTCTTCCAAGAACCTTCCATGTGCTCTGGGGAGCACTGGGGAGAATGCAAGAAATCCAGGAGCTAGTTGGGGGTGAGGAATCCCACGGAAATAAATTCAACAGGGCTCTGAAGCCTAAATGAATATCTCAGTGCCTGGATAAATCTGCTGCTCTTTATTAAGTCCTGCGAAGATTTATTAAATTTCCTGTGGCTTCAGAAATACAAAAGAACTGCAACAATAAGAGAGAGGGGATTGCTTGTAATTCACATTTTAATAATGGTCAAATGGCTCGATTGTATCTTTTCTGCTGCGATGAATATTATAAAATGTTATATAACCTAATATTTGGGGGGAAATTTATGCAACACAAAGATGTTCAGATGGTTCAACCGTAAATAATAAAAAATAAATCACTTTGGAGCCTTAAATAACTTTGGCATCAAGGTTTCTACTTAAGGTATTTTATTGCAGCATTATTTTGATCAGAAGAATTGAATTTTTTTTAGCATAAATTGGATGTGTACAATTCACTTTTATGAGAAGTGGAAAGTTTTGATTTCTCCTCATCCAGCATGGAGATAAATCTGGGTCCACCTTTCACTACCCCAGGTTGCTTCTGGGGGGTTTCACAGAATCCTGGAATGGTTTGGGTTGGAAAAGACCTTAAAGATCATCTTATTCTATCCCTTTTCCATGGGCAGGGACACCTTCCACTGGCCCAGGTTGCTCCAACCTGGCCTTGGACACTTCCAGAGATCCAGGGGCAGCCACAGCTCCTCTGGGAATTCTATTCCAGGGCCTCCCCACCCTCCCAGCCAGGAATTCCTTCCCAATATCCCACCTAAATCTCCCCTTTTCCAGCTCAAAGCCACTCCCTGTGTCCTGTCCCTCCATCTCTCTCCGTGTTTTTCTCAGCTCCTTCAGGCCACAATGGGGTCACCCCAAAGCTTCTCTTCTCCAGGCTGAACGATCTCAGTTCTCCCACAGCTCCCCAGGAGCTGCAGGGATAGAAAATAGGTTGTACTTGTGAGAAGAAATTCTCTCCAAGTTCAACTCTGACACTTTCTTCATCAAATAACAGTATTTTCTTCCTTTTTTCAGCCTGACACGGAGGGTTAGAACAAAAACCCCTCTGGGAAGGAACCAGGTCAGTCGCTGTTTGGTGTGGGCTCAGCTCCACTTCCAAAATTCACTCCAAAATCCATTAATTTCTGGCTATCTTCTCTCCAACCAGCAACAGAAAAGAAAATCAGTTTATCTGCCTCAAACTCCCCTTGATTGAATCGTTTCAGCCCCAAATTTCCCCTCCAGCACCCTCTACCCTCACCCCCAACCAGCAGCAAGAGGGAGGTCAGGAAATCCCACCCTGAGCCCTGGAAAACATCTTTGTTTTCCTGTTTCCAGGGATTAAACCTGACTGGTTGGATGAGGCTGGAAACACAAGGAGTGCTGACTGGATTAGGGAACCCATGTACAGGAACAGAGCTAATCCCATGCCAAGCTCCAGTTGGCCACTACTCCTCAGTGACAGCACTTTAGGGATGTCCTGCTGGCCTGGAAAAGCCCCCGGGGCTTTAACCTGATCCCATTTTACGTGAGAACTCGAAAAAGAAACAACCCACCCTACACACCCCCATGTAAAATTTCCTTTATCTGCTTTATCCAGATGGCTGGAAAAGATTTGAGATTAAAGACCTAAACTTAGAGGTGGCAAAGGTATGAGATCAGAAACTACACTGAGAGATGGCAAAGATGTGAGATCTGGGACCCAAACTAAAAGGAAGGCAAAGATATGGGTTCAAGGACCTACACTGAGAGGAAGGTAAAGGTATGAGATCCAAGGCCTACAATGAGAGGAAGGCAAAGAGATGAGATGTAGGACCTAAACTTAGAGATGGCAAAGATGTAGGATCAAGGACCTAAACTTAGAGGAAAGCAAAGATAGGAGATCCAGGAACCAACACTGAGAGGTGGCAAAAATATGAGATTTAGGACTACACAGAGAGATTACAAAGATAGGAGATCCAGGACCTACACTGAGAGATGGCAGAGATGTGAGAACAGGGACCTAAACTTAGAGATGGAACAGATATGAGATCTAGGACCTAAACTTGGAAGAAGACAAGGAGAAGATGTATTCTTAGAAGAAGATGTGAGATCCAGGACCTACAATGAGAGGAAGGCAAAGAGATGAGATGTAGGACTTAAACTTAGAGATGGCAAAGATATGGGGTCAAGGACCTAAACTTAGAAATGGCAAAGATATGGGATCCAGGACCTACACTGAGAGATGGCAGAAATATGAGATTTAGGACCTACACAGAGAGATGGCAAGGATACACTGAAAGGAAGCAAAGATATGAGATCTGGGACCTAAATTTAGAGGAAGGCAAAGATATGGGATCTGAGACCTAAACTTAGAGGAAGACAAAGATATGGGATCTGGGACCTACACTGAGAGGATGACAAAAATATGAGATCTAGGACCTAAAGAAGAAGGCAAACCCCACCCTCAGCACAACTGTCACTGCTGAGATTCTCATCTGAACAGCACTTTGACCTTCTGCCCATGGCCAACCAGCCAAGAGCACCCCCAGGCTGCCAAGGCAGAGCAAACTTCCAAATCCTCCTTGTTTGCAGGAGAAGCTGAGCTTCTGTTGGACCCTTTTCCTGCTTTAGTTATTTATTTATTCCCCTGCCGCATCTCTTAATTAAATCATGTATTTACATAAAAAAAGGCCTTGCCACAATCACCTCTCTGTGCTGAACAAGCCACAGCCTGCACTTCCATTATTACAGGGCTGTTGCCTCTTTTATTTTATTCCCAGCTATTGGAGGTGAAAGAAAAAGCAGGATGGAGGAGCACGTGGCTGCTCCAGGATGGCAGCAGCTTTACAGGATCCACAAGGTCATTTGCACCTCCCTTAATTAGGGTGTTCTCCACGTTAACAGCTGAAAAGCCATTCCAAGTCATTTATTGTATCAGCTTTGTTAAGCAGGATATGAGTTGGAAGGGGGTAAAAGCAGCTGATGTGCAAGGAAAAATTCCTTTTCCGTCCCTACATCCTTCTTGCTTTAGACACGTGAAGATACTTTGGGAAAATGTACAGGGAACTCCAAAAATAAAATAGGAATGTTGAAATCAGGCTGAACAGTGAGACCAGGCTGTACATCTGAACCACTGAAGTTCATCTCCCTCCTCATTCTCTGCTCGTGGCAGCTCCAAAGAATAATTTCCTTGGAGTGAATTTTATTTTTTTTTCAGGCACTTCATTTCAGTTGGATGAAAAATTGTTTCTCCAGGACCAAAATTGTCTCTGGGAATTCCACCCTCCCTCCTAATATCAAAGATGAGCTTATGGAGATATTTACTTCCAGGTCACTGAGAGCTGAAAGAGGATATTTTTATTTTCCAGCCCAGTCACTTCTGCTACACTTGGTCCCCAAAGTCTCCCCAGATTCCCAGGCATGGGCTTTTTTCTGCATTCCTTGCAGAAATTGGGGAGAAATTCCTGCCTCCCATGAGCTTGGAATGCAGATCCCATCCTCACCAGAGGAGCCAGAGACAGATTCTCACCCAGGTGACCTCAGTAAATTTACCAGGGAACTGCAATTAAACTGAATAATTCTGTGCTGAACTGAGACATTTGAACCAGCCCAGCAGAAATTATGGGGACATCCAGCAGGAAAAGGCCAGAGATTCCTGAATTTGCCTTGTTTTACACAGTGCAGAAGATTAAATGTCTGAATTCCAAAGGAATCAGCTTGGCCACACTATTCCCCTTCTTAATATAAGTCACTGTGACCCTGGAGAGGGAAGATGTGGAGAAGCCCAAATCCAACTCCCACTAAAGTTAGTGGGTATTAACTTACATATATTGTAACTTATGTAATTATTATTAACTAATTGTAACTTCTATAATTATTTATTTAAGAAAAGACTAGTAAATGGGTAAAGAATGGAGATTAAAAGCAACCTAATAAGTCATTATTGACCAAATCCCGGCCAATCCGCTGCTTGAAGTTTTACCTCTGGATGTCTGCAGCATTTCTTTAAAGAAGCATAAGGGTGTTCCAGGAATGTTCCAAAAATGAGCCCCTGGTTCTGTTCCCTTTCCTAAGCACCATTTTATTGTGTTTTCCAGTGAGCTGTAGGACTTCAGGAGTTTCCCTGCCTGAATTCAGCAGAGCACTCGTGTTTTCCATGGAGCAGCACGGAATTCCTGCCCCTGACAGCCCTGCTGGGGAGCCTGTGTGGAGCTCTGAGCCCTGATATCCTGCAGGATCCCGTTTTCCTTTTCCAGCCCCCCCAGCACAGCACGGATGTGACAGGGGGACGTGTCCTGCTGCCTGGGACAAGGAATTTCCGTGGATGTGACAGGGGAACGTGTCCTGCTGCCTGGGACAAGGAATTTCCGTGGATGTGACAGGGGAACGTGTCCTGCTGCCTGGGACAAGGAATTTCCGTGCCAGGATGTGACATTCAACCACTGGTGTTCCATCCCACATCCAGAGGGGCTCCATGGATGGCTCAGGTGGCTCTTTCCCTAAATGCTGAAACAGCTGGAGCAGTTGGAAAATGCCAATCCCATTGGGATTATTCAGGATATCCCTCCCAAATGGCTTCACTGGTGTGTCCTGCAACATTCCCCAGGTGCCACGTCTGGACACAAAGCTGCTGCTTAAGGTAGGAATCCCATGTTGGAGAATATTCCCCAAAAACACAGAGCTGAGGGCAGGGGTTTATGGATCCATCATCACCCATGGCATGGGGGATGATCCAAGGAGCTGGGATCTAAAGGAGAACCAGTTAATTGGGTAATTGTACAGAAGAGTGACAGGAGGAGAGGGAACGGCCTCCGGCTGTGCCAGGGGAGGCTCAGGTGGGACAGGAGGAGGAATTTCCTGCTGGAAAGGGTGGTGAGGCCTTGGCAGGGGCTGCCCAGGGAGGTTTGGAGTGCCCAGCCCTGGAGGTGTCCCAGGAAGGCCTGGCCGTGGCACTCAGTGCTCTGGGCTGGGGGACAAGGTGGGCATCGGGCACAGGGAGGATCCATGGGCTGGGAGGGCTTTTCCAGCCTCAGGGATTCTGGGATAATATAAGAAAGATATAAAGGTATTAAAGAACTACCAAAGGAGGGCTGCAGAGATGGTGATGGGTCTGGAGGAGGAGCCGTCTGAGCTCACTTGGTTTGTTGAGCTGCAGGAGTCTGAGGTTGGAGCTCACCAGGGGCTGCAGCTCCTCCCGAGGGGCAACTCCAGTCTCTGCTCCCTGTGGCCACTGACAGGACCCAGGGAAGGGCTGGAGCTGTGCCAGGGCAGGGTCAGGTTGGATCTGAGGACAAGGTTCTTCCCCCGAGGGTGGTTGGCACTGCCCAGGCTGCCCAGGGCAGTGGGCACAGCCCCAAGGCTGCCAGAGCTCCAGGAGGGTTTGGATGATCCTCTGGGGCACAGGGGGGGATTGTTGGGGTGTCCTGGGCAGGGCCAGGGCTTGGACTGGATGATCCCTGTGGGTCCCTCCCAGCTCAGGATATTCCATGATTCTGTGACAACGTCAGCACATCGCTTTTTGGTTTTCCATTTTCCTGTGGTCTCATTCTTACCAGTGTAAATGTGCTTTGCTGCTCATCAGATTTCACAACTTTCTGGGGGAGAAAAATGAAGTTTGTTGATGGGTCCTGTGGTCTCTCAGAACCCACCCTGTGTGACCTGAGCAAACAGGGCACGTCCTGCAGCTCCTCTCACCCCCACAGCGCTTCAGTGCCCGTGTGAAGTGTGTTCAAATGCCATTTTCACCTCAAAATCACTGAGCAGACTCTCTATAAATTTTAAAGTCAAGGTTACTGCCCTTCCTACGTGGTTTGCATCAGCACTGTCTCTCCACAGAGAGGATTTTTTTGTACAGCACAGTCAGGAAAAGGCTGGAATTGTTGGCCACCAGCTGCCCTTGGCCAGTCCTTCCTTGGTCAGAGCCCCAGTCCCATCCCACACCAGGAAAGGAGAGAAGGAGCACATGGATTCTGTGCCAGGAGCACAGAACTCACCAGGAATTAGGACCTCAGATTTACAGAATATTTGGGGTATTTATTCATGTTTTCTTTGCCTGAGCTCCAGTTCATTGTGAATCTGGAAACTGGATAAGTTTACTGGCAAGAGGGAATTCTCTGCCTCTCAAGGAGCTGTTGGAAGTGGGATGAGTAACCCGGGGAAGGGCAGGAGCTGTTCTGTTCCCTGAGCATCCCTTTTTATCTCCAAGATGAGCTACAGCCCTGTGTGATTTCCTGCTCTCAACCAGAACGTTTCCTAAACTTTTGGTGCCGTACAGGGACACATTTGTACTGAACACGGATAATTGAGTGGGAAGGGGAGAGGGAGAGCAACAAATCCCAGGAATTGCCTGCCCTCCCATCCTCAAATAGCAAAGCTGCTCTTTCCATGTGTCAACCCCTGGAGCAGGGAGAGCAACAGGAGCCCCTCTGGACTCTGCCCCAGCTCTGGGCTGCAGGAAATCTGCCATTTCTGGCAGGGTTCAGATTTATGTACCCCCCAAAAAAATCAATATCTAAACTCAGCCACACCAAGCCCCTCCCGTGGGTGTCGTGCACCTGAGATGAGTGAGCAGAACGGGAGGGGTTGGTTGGGGGGAGCCCAAGGTGTAAAGAACTGAATCAATCAAGGAAATGCTGAAGGTTTATGGGCAGAAAAGCTCTGGGTTGTTGCCTGTGGACCAGCACAGGCACCCAGAGCCACGTGGCTCCTTGGCCTGACTCCAGGCACTGAATCCAGCCTTGCTACTCCCTAAATTCCTAATTCTGTTTAGAGACAGAATTTAGCCTTTAAACAGCAAGGGATTTATTTAGGCAGCGTTGGAGAGCAAGGTGGTTCACACCACACAAGACTTGCTCTGCCTTTTCAGTGAAAAGACAGGTTTATATACAATTTCTGTGAGGGATTACGACATTTTCGCATACATATTCATATAATTGCAACATCTAGTTATAATATTCATAACAGGTGGAGTCTGGTGTGGAGTCGTCTTTTTGGGGTGATGTTTGGTGGTAACAGGTTTCCCAGAGAAGCTGTGGCTGCCCCTGGATCCCTGGAAGTGTCCAAGGCCAGGCTGGACGGGGCTTGGAGCAACCTGGGCTGGTGGAAGGTGTCCCTGCCTGTGGAAGGGATGGCACTGGATGGGCTTTAAGGTCCTTTCCAACCCAAACAATTCCATGATTCCATGTCTTTCCAATCCCTTTCCAATCCAGCACTTCCTGGCCAGCAGCCCCATGGAGATGCCTGTTTCTTCAGCCTCACGGGGTCGTATTTTCACTCTTCTTCCTCAGCTGAACTTTTCAACTTTCGTGATTTTCGCTGACTTTATGGTGAATTTTGCAAGACTTTTGGACTTAAGCCCCTATTTCTCCCCTTATCTATTTGTGTTCTTACCCTGTCTTTATTTATGTAGGTGTGTGAGCATTCTTTTGGTGGATGGTACCATCTAATCCCTAAGCCCTGGTTTCTGTCTCTAGCTAAGCAGTACATTATCACAGAATCCCAGAATCAGCCGGGTTGGAAGGGACCTCCGAGATCATCCAGTCCAACCCTTGATCCAACCCCGCCGTGGTTCCCAGCCCATGGCACTGATGCCACATCCAGTCTGTCCTTAAACACCTCCAGGGACGGAGAATCCCCCCCTTCCCTGGGCAGCCCATTCCAAGGGCTCAGCACCCTCTCTGCAAAGAAATTCTTCCTGATCTCCAACCTCCCCCTCCCCTGGCCCAGCTGCAGACCCAGCCCTCTTGTCTTGCTGAGAGTTACCTGGGAAAAGAGACCAACCCCCCCCGGCTCCCCCCTCCTGGCAGGGAGTTGCAGAGAGTGAGGAGGTCTCCCCTGAGCCTCCTCTTCTCCAGGCTGAGCCCCCCCAGCTCCCTCAGCCTCTCCTCCCAGCACTTGTGCTCCAGTCCCTTCCCCAGCCTCGTTGCTCTCCTCTGGCCCTGCTCCAGCCCCTCCAGGGCCTTCCTGAGCTGAGGGCCCAGAACTGGACACAGCACTCCAGGGGTGGCCTCCCCAGCGCTGAGTCCAGGGCAGGAATCCCTTCCCTGGCCCTGTTGGCCACCCTGTTCCTGAGCCAGGCCAGGCTCCATTGGCCCTCTTGTCCCCCTGGGCACACTGGGGCTCCTGTTCAGCTCCCTGTCCATCCCCACTCCCAGCTCCCTTCCTGCCTGGCTGCTCTCCAGCCCCTCTGGCCCAGCCTGGAGCTGCCGGGGGTTGTTGTGGCCAAAGGGCAGGCCCCGGCACACTGGAGCTGAACATGACATTCTCCTGAGCAGGAGGGTCCCCGGATCAGTATTCAGAGTTATCTCTTTAGGCCCTTGCTCCGTTTCAGATGGGCTCGGTTTTAACCAACCTTTGTGCTTGGGCACAACCCAATCCCGTGTCCTGGGGCTGCTGATGCGACTTTAAGCAGGGAATTCCCTGGGATTTGCTGAAGGAGGAGGACACCAGGCAGGGCAGGAGGCCCAAAGCTGCCCTGCCATGGCCCTGCAATTAGTCAGCAATTAGTGACTGGCTGGGCTTTGCTCAGAACCTCTTCACCTCCACGGGGAGGCCCCGTTTTGCTTCCAGGCCCTCATCCCAATTGTCCCGTGGGTCTGGCAGGGATCCCACCGCCGCCTCTGGCTGGGAGGTGCCTGGGTTGGCTCTGCCTGCGCCGCAGCCTCCGGGAGAAATGAACTTCCCAATAAAGCAGGAATGCAGTCCCATAAATCCCGGGGAGGAAAGGGAAGAGGGATCTGCTGGGCACGTGCTTTGCTTGTGGAATAAGAGGCACAGGCCCAGAGCTGCTCTTCTGAGGGGAAAGCAGCCAAAAAATGAGATGTGAAGAGAAACCAAAGCCTGCAAAGGCACAACTGGTGCTTTTTTAGCTGGTTGTGAGTGTTGACAGAATCATTAAGGCTGAAAAAGTCCTCCAAGATCATCAAGTCCAACCTTGGAGCAATCCCTCTGTGCCCATGAAGTGCCACATCCACTCACTTTTTAGGTTGTTCAGAGGGAGAGGAAACTGCCTTAATTTCTGTGCTGCTATATTTCACTCATTATATTTATTTTTTTTAATCCTCTGCTCGTTTATTACAAATGATTTTTGTGCCTTGGAGTTGATTTTCTCAGCAGTTCATCCTTCCTGGAACTGCTTTGCTTTGCTGTGCTTTGCTTCCCTCACTTCCAGCCCAAAGCTCAGCCCACCTGAATTGCTTCTTTATATTATTATTTTTTTTTATTATTTTTTTACTGTTTTATTTATTTTTTATTATCACTTTCAGCCACAGTTTCTCTGAGTGCCTCGGTGCTTTGGGAGAGATCTCGAGGCTCTGAATCCTCCTTCAGCTCCGAGCTGAGAAGGGGCATTTATGTCTTTGCAGAAGTCTCATTTTCCGCCCATATTCTTTGAGTGCAGCATCTCCAGGAGGAAAAAAAAATGTTCTTTTTAGATGGCCAGTCAAGAATTACAGCTGCCTGCCTTACCTGAGTGCTCTCTTTGTGCTGCTCTGTGTTTATTCCCTCCCGTGGAGGATGGATGGAGCAGCCATTCAGCCAGGAAAACACTTGCCACGGGAAACTGCAATATTATCCCGAGCTCCTGGAGTGTTCCACATCCATCCCCACTAATCCCTGCCTCCGGGTGACAGATCTCCCCTGGGGGAGCTGCAGAGCAGCATCAGCTCAGGAGGAGCTTCCAGGGGAAATTCAGCCCTTCCTGCCCAAAAGACGGTTCCAAGGAGGGTTCAGCTGTTGCTAAACGGGGGAAAGTGTCTCCAGTCCATCAACCTGCCCTTTGTTTTTCGGGCAGGACTCGCTGCCTTTACTGTGTTATTCCAAACAAAGCCCCCGGGGGAAGTGGTTGGAGGGGTTGGTTCCCTCCTTGCAACAGGGGTAGTTACAATTTTATTCTGTTTTTAGTTGGCTGGAGGGAAAGCAAAGACACCTGGAGTCACTTCAGGGCTCGGCTGGGACAGTTTCTCAGCCTGGTTTAGTGGCCTCACCCCCTGCCTGATGTTGTGCAGAGCTGCACTCCCACATCCTCCTTTCCCACAGCACCTGGGGGACAGCAGGAGAAGCTCTGGCGGTGGGCAGGACCCAGGAATCCCTGGATTTGACCCCTGGAGCTGCCCAGATACAAGGTGTGCAAGTACAGCCCAGTACAGAGAATCAGGGAATTGTTCAGGTTGGAAAAGCCCTCTGAGATCCTGGAGTCCAACCATCCCCAGCACTGCCAGTTCCACCACTGCCCCGTGTCCCCAAGTGCCACATCCACAGGGCTTTGAAACCTCTCCAGGGGTGGGGACTCCACCCTGTGCCAGGGCTGGGCAGCCCCTTTTGGTGTTGGAATTTTCCCAATATCCAACCTAAACCTCTCCTGGCACAACTTGAGGCCGTTTCCTCTTGTCCTACCAGGAACGACCTCCAGTGCTGCAGCACCTGCCCAAATTAGCAAATAGAGATGTATTTTTAGATCAGAAAAATAAGAAATAAGATGTATTTTTAGATAAGAAAAATAAGAAACAAGATGTAATTTTAAATAAGAAAACACCCATTAAAAAAAAAAGAGTTTCTTCTTTTTGTGGGATAATTTGTCAAATCTCCACTGGTGCCAATGCACTGGTTGCCCTGGGGGCTTCACTCAGAACTGGCTATTCCCCCCAAAATTCCAAGCTCCTGAGCCCTGGCCATCTGCTCCCTGGAGGTTTAGGCTGGCCTAAAGACCCTGCTCAACTTCCAGCACAGGTCAAGGTGCTTTAGGTGATCCTGGTTGGGCTGGGAGCAGAGTTCATCAAGACAGTGAGTTTCCATTTCAAATATGGGTTTAAATATCTATTTATTAAAAACAAACACATAAAACCACTTAAAACCAGTTGGTACCTCAGCTGTGGAAGTCGTCATGAGAATAACTTGGGTTAGTTTGGAGAGTGGAGCCCAGTGAACTGGTTTTTCTCATTTAATTATGTCAAGTTCTCTCCTGAACTATCCAGCAGCAAAAAAAAAAAAAAAAAAAAAAAAAAAAGTTGCAGAAAGACGTAAATTATTAAAAAAAAAAAAAATCATTTTGTCTGACTTAATTTTCGACTTGGTTGACCTGAGGTTGAACAAGGAGGTTCAGTCCACTGTAACCAGAATTACCAAGTGCAACAAGAACAAGGCTGGTGTTGGGCTGTGCTTTGTGCTGATGAGGTTTTCATGTCAAATTAAAGCTCTTCCCGTTCTCCCGAAGCCTTTAGTTGTGCTGGCAGGTCCTGCACACCGACACGATTCCTGAATGTTACCCGGCAGAACCTCATCCCTGTGGGAATTGCTCTGAAACAAAAATAGGCTCGGGCTTGTTCTCGTGCACCTGCTGCTTCCAAGATGGAAACACGTAGGGAAGCAGTTTAGAAGGACAGAACAGGTTTTAATTGAAGAAATATATTGGTTTTTTTGGAAGACTGGAGCACAGCTGAGCTTTGAAGCAGAGGAGAAACATGTCTGAGGGTCACGGACATCTCCAGTCTGGGAGGATGGTGAGCATGTGCTGGGAAGGGAAGGGAGCTGGGAAGGGGCTGGAGCAGCAGGAGGGGCTGAGGGAGCTGGGGGGGCTCAGCCTGGAGCAAAGGAGGCTCAGGGGGGACCTTCTGGCTCTGCAACCCCCTGACAGGAGGGGGGAGCCGGGGGGGGGTCGGGCTCTGCTCCCAGGGAACAAGGGACAGGAGGAGAGGGAACGGCCTCCAGCTGTGCCAGGGGAGGGTCAGGTTGGACATCAGGAGGAATTTCCTGAAGGAAAGGGTGGTGAGGCCTTGGCAGGGGCTGCCCAGGGAGGTTTGGAGTGCCCAGCCCTGGAGGTGTCCCAGGAAGGCCTGGCCGTGGCACTCAGTGCTCTGGGCTGGGGGACAAGGGGGGCATCGGGCACAGGGGGATCCATGGGCTGGGAGGGCTTTTCCAGCCTCAGGGATTCCACAATTCATCCATATCTTTATTCTCACATCATTTTGTCTTTAATGTGCACCTTGGGGACGAATCAGTGCAAGAAGACACCATGTCATGAGGAGTTCCTGAACACCAAGAGGTGCCTGTCATCCCCTGGGACTTCATTTTCTTCTCTCTTCATCTTCCCGGTGTTCCTGGAACGGGAGTTTCTGTAGAAGAAAATACAGTGGGCAAAATGAAACTTTTGAAGGGCATATCAATATTTTTGCACAAAGCAATTTTAAAACTCAGGAGTGTTTTGGTTTATGGCTGGGGAGGTTTTTGGGAGTGCTGCCTGTCTCTAAATGGGGCTCTGAGCAACCTGGGCTGGGGGACAAGGTGGGCATCGGGCACGGGGGGATCCATGGGCTGGGAGGGCTCTTCCAACCTCAGGGATTCTGTGTGAAACACCTCAGAGATCCAGCAGGCACCCAGAATTCTCCACTCAATTAGAACAAGCTCATTCAAGGCAGCAGCACCTTTCAGGCCTTTTTAATAAATCTTTCCATGATTTAGAAATTTTTAATATCTACATGAAAATTGTCAGATTTTGATTTTGAAGCTCTATTTTCTTTACTTCTGTAAATTTTTCTCCACGGACACTGTGAGGTTTTTCCTGGAACAAGGTAAGACTCCTTTTGGTCTTTCCCCAACCTTTTGTAGCTCACCAGCCTTTGTCCCATCCCTGGAAGTGTCCAAGGCCAGGTTGGAGCAGCCTGGGCTGGTGGAAGGTGTCCCTGCCCATGGCAGGGGTGACACTGGGTGGGCTTTGAGGTCCCTTCCAACCAACCCAGTCTGGGATTCTATAACAAACAGGAAAGTAAATAAATTAAGGCTTTCAGTTTATTGAAATGTTGTTTTCAGTCTGCTCCAAACAGGTTTGTGATGGATGCTCTCCCGTCGCTTTGTCTGTGCTCTGTGCAAAACCATCCAGCTTTTAAATTCCATGTTTTTCCCAGGAAGCAGAGCCCTGTGCAGCCCAGGGCCAGTCCAGCTATTTCTACAGGGACATTCTCCCTTTCTACTTCAGCGCTCTAAAAACAATGTCAAACATTATTTATATTATTTTTACATTTTATATATGTATTCTTTATTTATATAAATATATATAAGAATATATAATATTTTATATTATATATTTATGTATAATATATTTAATATAAAATAATATATAATATAATATAAAATAATATATACAATGTAATATATATAATATATATTTTTATATAATATATAACTTATATTTACATATAATATATAATATAATACATTATATATTATCTTATTGTGTATTAATACATGATATTATTATGTATTTATATATAAATATATCTTTATATTGTAAATATATTCATATATATTTATATTATTTATCTAAATATATTATATATATTTATATTTCTTATTATATATTCATATATAATGTTTATATTATTATACGTTTATAGATTATTATATATTTTATATATAAATATATTATATATATTATATATTATATATATGATATATATAATATATATACTATATATTTATATATAAAAATATATATAATGTATATTTATAAATATAATATTTTTAAAATAAAATAAATTTTTTTAAAATCACATTTTTAACTGAAATCTTTCCAGCCTTTCACTTTTACACTTTGCCCTCCTCAGGCTGGCAAGGTTTGGGTGGTGGCACCAACCTGGGAGTGTGGGAAGTGGGAAGAGAGTCCCATCAGTGCTGGAGCTCTTTGGCTCAGAAGGATCAATAACATTTATTTGCAAGTGTTTAGAGCAGATTATTTGCATTTGTGAAGGTAATGAAAAAACTATTGAATTTTAATTAGCATTTTCTGGCTCTTCTGGGAGAACTCCGGATTCAATCCGTGGATACTCGCAGTGTATTCCAGGGAAAATTCCGGATAATTTTGGGTGTTCTGCCATTACAAAACCACCTCCGAGCACAGATTTCCATCAAGTCCCCCCCTGCCAGGAGTTCTTGCAGGAGCATAATGACAGGTCTGTTGTGCTCGGAATTGTTTTGTCATTTCACATTCCTGGGAACTGCTGAGAAGAAAAATTAAATAAATAAAATGACCGATTTGCTCCTATGAAACTGGGCCTCAGCTGGGAAAATGAATTTTTTTTAGATAAATAGATCAGCTTTCTCTCTGCTCCGGGCTCCAGAATAAATAACTGTGCTAAATATCCATGTAAATGTTTCCCACAGAAAAACACACAGCGGGAAATGATAAAAAATACTGGGAGTCGGAGTGGTCACAAAATGTGGGATTGCTTTTCTTCCAGGGAAAATGGACGTGCCCTCAGTGGGTTTTCCAGGTGGGAAAGGGAGGGTGGAACAAAACACGGAGGTTTTAAAGGAGAGCTGAATAAAACCCTCAGGAAGGTGGTTGTGCTCATGGAACACTGGAATTCCTCCATTGCACGGGGTGGTGGTGGTGTTTGGGCAGAGCTGAGATTCCTTAACTGGCCTTTCCCTCTCTTATATGGAGGGAATTATATATTTTTATATATAAATAATAGATATATAAATTATATTTCCCATTTATAGCTTTAACTGGTTGGAGTTTTGGACTCGCTCTGCTCTGTTTCAATCCTCACGTTCCAGAGAAGGACTGGAATTCCATAAACATCCTGGTAAATATGCTGGGGATAAACTGGCTGTGGGTGGGAGAGAGGGAAGGAAAGGAATTTGGGTGATTGCAGCTCGGATTTGGGTGCTGAGACATTCCAGGGAGCGGGAATGAGAGAGGGAAGGGAGGGAATTTGGGAATTTGGGTGATTTCAGCTTGGATTTGGGTGCTCAGGAGCAGCTGAGACATTCCAGGGAGCTGGAATGAGAGAGGGAATTTGGGAATGAATTTGGGTGATTGGAGCTCGGGTTTGGAGCCGCTGAGACATTCCAGGGAGCTGGAATGAGAGAGGGAAGGGAGGGAATTTGGGAATTTGGGTGACTGCAGCTTGGGTTTGGGTGCTCAGGAGGTGCTGAGACAGTCCAGGGAGCAGGAATGAGAGAGGGAATTTGGGAATTTGGGTGATTGCAGCTCGGGTTTGGGTGCTCAGGAGGTGCTGAGACATTCCAGGGAGCGGGAATGAGAGAGGGAAGGGAAGGGAAGGTTTGGGAAGGGAAGGTTAGGGAAGGGAAGGTTAGGGAAGGGAAGGTTTGGGAAGGGAGGTTGGGAAGGGAAGGATTGGGAAGGGAAGGGAAGGTTTTGAAGGGAAGGGAAGGTTTGGGAAGGGAAGGTTTGGGAAGGGAAGGTTTGGGAAGGGAAGGTTTGGGAAGGGAAGGTTTGGGAAGGTTTGGGAAGGGAAGGGAAGGCAAGGCAAGGCAAGGCAAGGGAAGGCAAGGGAAGGAATTTGGGTGATTGCAGCTCGGATTTGGGCGCTCAGGAGCCACTGAGACTCCCATTCCAGGGAGCGGGAATGCCGTGTTTGCCCCTCGTGCTCCTCCTGGCTGATATTTGCTGTTTGCAGGCCGATGTTCTGAGCCTGACTGATGCTTCTCCCCTGGAAAGCTCCTTGGGAACTCGTCTGGACCCGGAGTTTTGTGCTGAGAAGCAGCAGCCGGTGCCAGGAAATGTGGCCATTCCAGCCCCAGCCCTCCTGTCAGAGACAGGGATTTAATCCTGGCTGATGGACAAGCACTTCCATTCCAGGCTTGTGAGCATTCCAGGCTGAGTGCCGGGCTGGAATGTGTGTCTGGGCCGGAGGAGAGGACTCTCCTTGTTTCTGGTGCATCCCTGCCTGGCTTTGGAGAGGTGCTGGATGCAGTGACAGTGCCAAGAAGCCTTTCAGCGCCTTGGCCACCATCCAGGAGAGCAGGGCAGTGCTCCCTGCCCCTCTCACTCCCTCTAAAGCTGATCCCAGAGCAAAAGGATAATCCCTTTATTCCGGTTCACTGCCCTCCTGGACCTCTGGGTTAGGGATCAGCAGTAACTGCCTCATTTTGGCAGCCCTGGGAACCAAAGGAGCCCAGGCTGGCACCTCACACCAAAATACTGGGGCTAAACCCCTTTCCCATCCCCCCAGAGGGATCTATTATATATTTTATATTATTATATATTTATATATAATAATATATATAAAATTTATATTTATATTATTTAAAAAATAAAATAAAATTTTTTAAAATCACATTTTTAACTGAATTATTTCCAGCCTTTTACTTTTGCACAATTCCCATCCTCAGGCTGGCAAGGTTTGGGTGGTGGCCACTCCTGGGACAGCCCAGGGCCACCAACCTGGGAGAGGGGACAGTGAATGGCTGAGTGTAGGAAGGCACCAGAGAGTCCCATCAGGACTCTAACCCTGTTAGGAAAGAATGTGAGAAAGAATGTGATGTATGGGCAGGAATTACAGCAAATACTCCACTGCAGCCTCATAATCCTTTTTTTTCTTTACAGCAACGTGCCCAAGGATTTGGAAAGAGGAATAAAGGAGGAATAAACCCTTCTCCATTTTACCAGGTAAGTCTTGCCCCGAGCCCAGTTCTCACTGCTGAGCACAAAAACTGCTGCAGCTCTGACCCAGCAAATAGAGCAAAAAAACCCTCCAAACACGAGGAAAAGCAGCTTTGTTCCCAAGCTGGAATGGTCTGGTGACTCTCCTTGGAAATGCTGAGTCCAGGGAAACTCGGGCTCCTGAAAGCAGGGGAATGTGCAATAAATAATTAAATTCCAGCTTTATTGTCAAGGCAGGTTTCCCAAAATAGACCTGTTTTCAGGCAGGATTATCCATGTTCACAGCAGGGGGGTCCCGAGGGGTGACTTAAAAATGCCGAGTTGGAATTGGCTTAAACAGCTGATTGCTGGAAGCAGGGAGATCAGGGAATCATGGAACGTTCTGAGTGGGAAGGGACCCCCAAGGACCACCCAGTCCAACCTCAGTCCCTGCCCAGGACACCCCAACAATCCCCCCCTGTGCCCCAGAGGATCATCCAAACCCTCCTGGAGCTCTGGCAGCCTTGGGGCTGTGCCCACTGCCCTGGGCAGCCTGGGCAGTGCCAACCACCCTCTGGGGGAAGAACCTTTCCCTGAGATCCAACCTGACCCTGCCCTGGCACAGCTCCAGCCCTTCCCTGGGTCCTATCCCTGTCACACAGATCCAAGTGCCCTCAGCTGCTCCTCCCATGGCCCCTCCAGACCCTTCCCCATCCTCGTGTCCCTCCTTTGGCCGCTCCAACAGCTTTAGATCTTCCGGAGAACTTGGGGTTCAGGTGATCCCTGACCTTCTCTCTTCTCCAGAAATCCTCTGGCAGGACACCAGGAGGGAGGATGTGCAGGTTTTTTCCTGCAGAAGGCAGTTTAGACCCACTGGTAGATGTTCATCTGGCTCCCTGTTCAGGGGAGGAGCAGATTTTTTCCCGTTCTTGGAGCATCCTGCTCCATCTGCTCCCCTCTCTGTGGTGCCTTCCAAGGGGAACACGACTGAGAAGTGCATTAATGCTAAAGCTGGGCCCTGATTCCTGAATTATCCACTCTCCAGAGCTGGAATTTAAGGTCCCAAAGTGCCACGAACACCCAATTTCTACAGTGCCCTTGTCTGGTCTCAGCCCCACATGCTGCCTGTTGGCTCCAGGGATGAGGAACCCCAAGCCCTGCAATCCCTTGGGAAGGCTGGGAGCTTCCAGGGCTGACCATGTGTCTCAGGAGCCTTCATTCCACCTGATAAATCGTGATACATTTTGCTCATCCCTTCGTGTCCGTTGGGGTTTCTCTGGGAAAAAGAGGGGGAAAAAAATCCAATATCTGAATTATTTCCTTGTGCTGCCTGTGGAATTACCTGTGGCCCCAGGTACATGGATATGGGGTGGAACAGAAAGGCAAAGGGGTGCATTTCTCTGGGAAAAAGAGAGGAAAAATTCAATATCCAAATTATTCCCTTGTGCTGCTCCTGCTCACTTTGGAATCATCTGTGGCCCCTTGGAATCATCCCTGCCCCAGGTACTGAAGATGGGGTGTAACAGTCAGCAGGGAAAAGGGGTGCATTTCTCTGGGAAGAAAAGAGGGAAAACCTCCAAGATCTGAATTATTTCCTTGTGGAATTACCTGTGGTAACGTGAATATGGGGTGTTACAGACAGGAAAAGGGAATGGAATTATTCTTTTTTCTGGATTAGCCTGAGTTTCACTGCTGCATTTTGCTCACGTCTGCACGTGGAATTTTCTTGCCTGTGTTTTATCCTCACAGCACCTCGAGCAGATGGACAGCGAGTCCATAAAGAAATGAAACAATCAGATGAAATATTGTTCCCTTACAGCATTCCTAAACAAGAGCAACGATGCTCCATGGCAGGGGTGAGAGTTAAACTGCAGCAGTAAAACACAGAATAATTCGGGGATGGATGGGTTCAGAATTTGGATGAGGTTTTTGGACAGACTTTAAGGCAATTCCGTAAAGGCTGAAGATTCCCGGTTATCCTGAGTTCTGGACACTGGGCCAGAAGCCCCATCAGAGCTCCTGGGAGGGCTCTGCATGGCCTTGCTTGAGATTTATAAAGTAAAGACAGCAAATTATCAGCAGGGCTGATTACAAATTTGTAGAGATAATCCTGGCTTAAAATGCCATTCCAGGGGTTAAGCCTGTGGTGTTTGGGGATAAGCTCTGCTTGCTTGTGGGTGTATTAATGGTGATACTGCTGGAATATATTAAATTAACCTGTTATTTTCATGGAATCGTGGATGGTTTGGGTTGGAAGGGATGTTAAAGATCATCTACTTCCCTGAAGGGACACCTCCTACCAGACCAGCTTCCTCCTCTGCTCATCTTTGTAAAATATTGCAGGTTTTCCTGGTTTTTCTTTGATGATTATTTATTCCTAAAATTGGTATCTTTGCTGTGCTTTGTGTTCAACATGAGAGACAGCGACAAATTTTATTTTTTGATCTTTTTTTCCCCCCCCTCACTGAAGGTTCCTGAGCAAAAGGAGGTTTCCCACAGCAGTATTGCTGCCCTGGGCTCAGCTCCCTCCTGGAATTCCATCCTGGAATTTTACGATTCTTTACTTCCCTGTCTTGTTTTCTGGGGCCACCTCTTGGAAAATGCTTATTTTGAGGTACTTTGGGGAAAAAAACTCTGTTTGTACCACTTGAAAATGATATTTCCTTCCCCAAGAACACGAGTGCTCGATAACGAGACGTGGTTATTTTGTTAGAATTGTCCAAAAGCTTCTTTTTATTTCCACACCAGGTGGGAAATTCGACATTCCTGACTCCCCTGGTTCCCTGGCACAGCTCTGTGTGTCCTCTGGGACGTGATCAGAGCTGGGGAAAAAACAAACCACCTGTAACGAGTTACCAGAGAAAATTAACATTTGCAAAATCACTTTTTTTTTAATGTGCCAGAAAAGAAAAGTCAAGTTCCATTCTCATTTTCGTTTCAAGCATTTAAGAAATAGTTTCTTAACTTCTTATTTTCTGTGATTTGGCATTTTTGTCCCTTTTATTTTTTTTTTTGCTGTTCAATTTTTCTCTCTTTTGCTTCTTTTCACCCTGTAAGAACGGAAAATAAATGCAACAAATAGAACTGAAACCAAGCTTTATTAACGTTTCATTTTTTTATAAAACACTTCATAAATTAAAAACCCCTCTCTCTCCTGGAAGACCTGGCCTTTAATGCTTATTCCAACCCTTTTCCATCTCTTCCTTGCCACTTTGACACTGTCAGAGAGGTCGGAACCCCTGGAAAAGTTTAAAAAACGTGTGGATGTGGCACTTTAGGACATGATTTTCTGGTGCTGGGTGGATGGTTGGACTTGATGACCTTAAAGGTCTTTTCCAGCCTTAATGATTCCATGATTTTATGGCTCCTCCTGATCCTTTGTTTCCACCCTGTGTTCCTTCCTCCAGCTTGGAGTGAGTTTATAGGGAATTTTTAGGGAATCCCTCAGGCCTTTTTTCCCCCTGACTCTGACACAACCCTCCAGCAGAACTGGAAATAAATCCCAGCCCAAAGTGCCCAGTCCAGCATTAGGATAAAACAAGGATTAATTATTATATTCCTTGATTTATTATAATTAGTGTGTTTGCCCCTCATGGTGACCAGGGAGGGACATGCAGGTTTAAGGGATATCCTGATCCTGTTTACCCCAAAAATCTCCCTGGGAATCAGCACCTCCCCTCTCCCTCTGAGGGGTTTTCCCCCTCACCATTCCCACTGTCCTGCCCCAGTGAATCCCAGCTCTGATTCCCAGCAGCTTCCAAAGGAATTGAGCTCCCAGATCCCAGCCCAGCTCCTGCCTCCCCCAGGGAGAACCTGGAGATCCAAGCTGGATATTGGCCCTCCTGCATTTTGGCAGCAGCCAGAAAAGAAGTTAATTTTGGTTTGTTGAAGTTAATTATCTGGTTCACTGGGACAAAAATCCCCCAAATTAGATTTCCCCTCAGGCTGCTGTTGGCCCCTCACCATCCACACTGACCCAGGGCTGTCCCATTTCCCAGGGAAAAAACAGCTTTGGGTTTTTTTCCTGGGACATCAAGATCCACAAATCCATGGCTGATTAAAAGGGAGAAAGCTTTTTTTTCCCCCCTAAATCGTGGCAGTGTTCTCTGAGCACCAGATTGATCACCCCCCTAACGTGTTAAGTCGTTATGACACATTTTGCTTGTTTACTCTGCAGCTCTAATTAAGATGAAAACCGAATTGTGGCTCAGAGAGCCCAATAAATCCAATTTGAATCACATCCCCTTTAATTTTAATTTACTTACCCATAGGCTGGATGTAAAGAAAGGCAGCAAAACAATTATTCTAATTAAAAAGGAAAGATTTGCTGGAGCTCATTTCCATTTTAGTCCTGTCTGGGTTCCATCACAGCCTCTCACCAGCCTGTCCAGGAAGGGAGGAAATAGTTCCTGTTTCCCAGATCCTTTCATAATAAAACCCAGAAATAGTTCCCATTTCCCAAATCTTTTTATAAATAAAACCTACAAATAGTTCCTGTTTCCCAAATCCTTTAATAATAAAACCCATAAATAGTTCCTGTTTCCCAAATCCTTTCATAAAAAAAATCAGAAATAGTTCCTATTTCCCAAATCTTTTTATAAATAAAACCTACAAATAGTTCCTGTTTCCCAAATCCTTTAATAATAAAACCCATAAATAGTTCCTGTTTCCCAAATCCTTTCATAAAAAAAATCAGAAATAGTTCCTATTTCCCAAATCTTTCTGTAAATAAAACCCAGAAGTAGTTCCTGTTTCCCAAATCCTTTAATAATAAAACCCAGAAATAGTTCCTGTTTCCCAAATTCTTTTATAAATAAAACCCAGAAATAGTTAGTTTCCCAAATTCTTCTATAAATAAAACCCAGAAATAGTTCCTGTTTCCCAATCCTTTCATAAAAAAAATCAGAAATAGTTCCTATTTCCCAAATCTTTTTATAAATAAAACCCAGAAATAGTTCCTGTTTCCCAAATCCTTCTGTAAATAAAACCAGTCCCTTGTTAATAAGATTTAAAAAAAAAAAAAAAAAAGTTTTAAACTCCTGAACTTTGCTCTGAGGTTTTGCATGAAAAGATTCCTCTAAAGCCAGGTGCAGGTGCCCTCCAAGAGCTGTCAGGGTGCAGGTTTTTAGGTTTGATGAGAGGTGGCGTTAAATGCTGGAAAAAAACCCCTCTCTGCTGAGGAGCAGAGGGAAGAAATGCTGAGGTTGTTTCCAATAAAAAACCCTTTCAATTCCTGGGCCATCACGTTCCATTTCAGTGGAAAGCCTCACACAAGTGGATTTTCCTGCTCTACAGTGATTTGCAAGCGCTGCTGTAATAAAAAGGGAATAAAACCCCCTGCATTTTTAATATAAATAGAAAATTATTACCTTTTAGCTGTTTGGTTTTTTGCTTGATTTGAGTGCACACTTTCACTCAAAACGCCTAACCTTTTCAATTATTGAGAAGCCAATGCCATAAATATATTATGGAATATATATATATATATATATATATATATACACACACTACAGTGGTTTTCCTCAACATCTGGAGGGAGTACCCTGCTGGAAACGGGGTCAAGGGAAGAAATTTTTCTCCCCCAGTTCTTCAAACCCAAACCTCTTAAAAAACACTTTTATTTTTTCTTTGTTTTTTTTTTTTAAATTGATTTAACAGTGGGTCAGAGGGATAAGAATGTGCAACACGAGCAGTTCCTGCTTTATTCAGCCCCATTTTTCAGGAATATCTACGGATAAAATTCTCTCATTATTTCCTCTCTGTCATTCCCCAGGAGCTGAGTTTCCCATCATAATTCTCTGCTGTTTCCTTTCGCACCTCGGGGACGTCGATGAGACAAATAATTCAGCATTTCCAGCTGCAAGACAAATAATTCAGCATTTCCAGCTGCAAGACAAATAATTCAGCATTTCCAGCTGCCTGGAAGGATTTTAACTTCCAGAAATAACCCCAAAGCTGCTCCCTTGGGCAGCATTTGCTGCTAATTCCCTTCCTGGAGAGAGCTGGAATCCATCACCTTTTAGGATATTTTATGAGCAGGGTCTGGAGCAGGAGGGCAGAAGGATTTAATCCAGAATAATGAGATGTTTGCCTTTTTCCAGGCTTTTTTTTTTTTTTTTTTTGTGGAGAAGCTTCTCCAAAAGTGCTGAAGTTTGGGCTGGAGAAGAACCAAGGGCTCTGGGTTTGCCCAAGTGTTACAAGGAGAGGAGTCACCACAGACAATTCCATCCTCTCCTGCTGCAAGGAGGGTTTGGGAATCCCAGGAAAGACATGGAATCATGGAATGGTTGGGGTTGGAAGAGACCTCGAAGAGCATCTTGTTCCACCCCCTGCCATGGGCAGGGACACCTCCCACCAGCCCAGGTGGCTCCAACCTGGCCTTGGACACTTCCAGGGATCCAGGGGCAGCCACAGCTTCTCTGGGAATTCTATTCCAGCCCCTCCCCACCCTCCCAGACAGCAATTCCTTCCCAATATCCCACCTATCCCTGCCCTCTGGCAGTGGGAAGCCATTCCCTGTGTCCTGTCCCTCCATCCCTTATCCCAAGTCCCTCTCCAGCTCTCTTCCAGTCTCCCTTCCTGGCAGCACATTCCTACTTTGGGAATCCCCCCCCATTCCATCCAGAATTCAGATTTTTTATTCATAATTCATAATTTTCCAAGGAGACAACCCCACCAGCCTATTTTTGACCTTATTTCTCCTGCCTGGGGCCTTTGGCCTCTATTTTTTCTTTCCTACCTGACAAGGCTCCAGTGACACATCCCTGAGCCCTCACCATGGCAGGGCAGTGTCACAGCTGTGGAAATCCCAAAATACATTCAACAACATATTAATTATCCTCTGGGATATCCTGGCCTGACACTCTGGAATTTGAAAAGGGCCACTTCTAGGAATTGCTGCACTTGGGTCCTTCAGAGAGAAGCTGAAGTGGAGCTGTAATTTGTGTATTTAATGCATGTTTAAATGAGAGTCTGGTTTTGTGGAAAAGGGCTTTGATTGTGCTTTGTGTGATCTTCTTGTTGGGGAAGGGCTGGGCTTGATGATCTTGAAGGTGTTCTCCACCCTTGATTGGAAGGCTTTTCCAACCCTAGTTATTCTACCACTCTGTGATTCTAAAATGGAGTAACCCTGTGAGGAAAGAACGTGAGAAATGTGCATTGTGATGTATCTACGACAGGTTATTTCTTAGACTCCTTAATTCTATCTAATTTTTAACATTAAAGAACATGCAGTGCCCCCCCACACTGGAAAGGGGACAGTTTGCTGACTGCAATGGGCTGTCACACCTTGGGAATCTGAATTGTTTGAGAGATATCCCTGTTTTCCTGAAAGAAAAACCAACTTATAATAGCAGGAAATTATTGTAACAACCCAATTCCAGGCACGGATCACGATCAAACCATGTCCAAAGGGTTTGACATTCCCATCTCTGCTGGAAAACAGGGGTTGTTGGCAGATTTACATCCCTGAAATGATGGGAATGCCAGGATTTACATCCCTGAAATGATGGGAATGCCAGGATTTACATCCCTGAAATGATGGGAATGCCAGGATTTACATCCCTGAAATGATGGGAATGCCAGGATTTACGACTCCCTTTTCAGCAGGGGGACAAAGCAGCCCCCGAAATAGGTTTATCTCCAAGTGCTTGGGGAGAGCTGGAGGGGAGATTTGAGTGGATGTGGAGGCTGGAAACAGGGAATTCATCTCTTCCTCTTCCCAAAGCAGCAGGGGGAGTGTCCAGAGCTTTCCATCTTTCCATCCAGCAAATCCAGGGAGCAACAGTCAATAAATAGATCAGGCAGCTAAAGGTTAATACTTTCAAAGGGCTTATTGCAGGGAACAACTGTGGGCTTGGGGTATTTCTGCATCTTTCTTTTCCTTGCTTCTAATTCCCCGAAGAAATCCCAGGAATAAAAGCTGATTTTTTAGGCAACTTTCAGGGGGACTCAGCAAAACTGTTTTAACACCAGGCTGCTGATTTTAGATGTGCTGAAGAGACTAAAAGTGGCTGAGGCTGGAGACGAGCCCGTGGATCAGCAGGAATTGCAAGAGCTCATAAATAAAACAGGAGCGAGGGGGGATTTTTATTAAAAAATATAGATCTTTTTTTACTCGCTTTAGATTCAATTCTTAAATCAAAAAGGAAGGGCATAAAACCATCCCAGTTCATTCAGCCAGATGATGACTTCAGCAGAGACACTTCAAAAGGAGAGCAAGCAGAAGAAATGTGCTTTTCCCTCTCTTTATATATGAATTTCGTCGTTGTTTTTTTAGGCCTCCTAAGTCCAGGTGTCTGTGACTGGAATTTGGAGCTTTTCCTGATCACTCCACCCAACTTGGAACAAATAAACAGGTGGCAAACAGAAAATAGGTGGATAATTCTTGCTTGAAGCACCACAGATTTCTCCATCCAGCACATCCAGAGTGTCCCATAAATAAAGGGCCTCTCTCAGAAGGAGAAAATGTGGGATATTTCTGCCTCCTGGCTTTGTGTGGTGTCCAAATCACTCCCTGTGAGCAATAAAAACACCCAAGAAAGGATTTTTTGCCTTCGTGGCCCAGCACCAGCATTGGGTACCAACCTTCTCATCCAACAAAATTCAGAGAGTGAAGCAAATAAAACCAAATCCAATTCAAAGAATAAAGCAAAGAAAATAAAACATAAAGGATGATCAGAAGAGAAATAAAATAAGGAAACAGGCACAGGCTAAAGGCAGGAGAGAAGTTTTGTCCTGTCACCTTTCACTTGGGAGAAGAGACCAGCCCCCACCTGAGTCCAACTGTCTTCCAGGTAATTTTAGGGAGTGAGAAGGTCCCTGAGATGTGAAGGAAGGGAAGAAGATCCAACATGACATCATGTCTGGCTGATCTCCCCCCTTTCCATGACATTGCAATGGGATCAGTGGGTGGGGGAGAGGTGGGAACATCTTATATTTTAATTTCACCAGGCTTTGGACCCTGACTTCCATTCTAGGTAAAATGAAGGAATATGGTCCAGGGAAAACTGCTGCATGACAAGGGAAAAAATGTTGGCAGGACACACACAGGGCTTTCCAGAGGTTCATCTCCAAAATGAAAAAATAGTTCCCAGTGGGATTTTGTCTGGTGGCACAAAAACCCCTCCCTAAATAACAGCACCACTTCAGCTTATCTCTGAATACCCAAGTCAATCTTAAAAAGAATTCCTTCAAGTGGCCTTTTTCAGGTTCCAGAATGTCAGGGTGGGTCTCCCAGAGGATAATTAATATGTTGTTGAATGTATTTTGGGATTTCCACAGCTGTGACACTGCCCTGCCATGGTGAGGGCTCAGGGATGTGTCACTGGAGCCTTGTCAGGTAGGAAAGAAAAAATAGAGGCCAAAGGCCCAGGCAGGAGAAATAAGGTCAAAAATAGGCTGGTGGGGTTGTCTCCTTGGAAAATTATGACTTATGACTAAAAAATCTGAATTCTGGATGGAATGGGGGGGATTCCCAAAGTAGGGATGTGCTGCCAGGAAGGGAGACTGGAAGAGAGCTGGAGAGGGACTTGGGATAAGGGATGGAGGAGCAGGACACAGGGCATAGGAATGGCTTCCCAGTGCCAGAGGGCAGGGATAGGTGGGATATTGGGAAGGAATTTCTGTCTGGGAGGGTGGGGAGGGGCTGGAATAGAATTCCCAGAGAAGCTGTGGCTGCCCCTGGATCCCTGGAAGTGTCCAAGGCCAGGCTGGAGCCACCTGGGCTGGTGGGAGGTGTCCGGCATCAGAACTGGACGATCTTTAATGTTCCTTCCAACCCAGGCCTCTCTCTGGGTCTGCAATTCCCTGACACTGGCAGGGCTGATCATTCCAAAGATCCCTCTGAGCCTTGGAACCGAAGCTTTGATGATCCACATCCTCTGGAGCCCGTTTTGTCCCAGACTCTCCGAGTACCAGCGCGAAGCCCCCGGGCCGGGAAGCGCTTCGGAGCCTCCCTGTCCCCGTCCCTGTGACAGCACCAGGAGTTAAAAACGCTCTTCCACAGACTGGCAGCTCCCTGAGTGGCTCCCAGGGGCACTTTTCCGTGCTTTCCAAGCCCTCCTGAGGAGCTGGAAGGTTTCCTAGCCCCGTGTCAGCCCTGACAAATGCGCTGACAAAAGCAGAGATGAGAAATGATGGCTCCGGGAGCACCTCGATGAATTCAGAGAAAAATCAGAGCTCCCTTTCTGCCCAGACAGGCAGGAAAGGAATTAATGGAAAGGTTGTTGGAATGATAATAGTCTGTTAAAGCATATGTTACAAGGAGCTTATAATGTTCCCGCTCCGTTGGAAGTGATTATTTTTCATTTAGCGGGATCTGAAGAGCCAAATAAGTCGGAATCTTTGCTCCTTCCATCCCTCAGCACCGAGTTACAGCACGAAGAGGGAAGTTTTTCCTGAGGGCAGAAAAAGAAAATAGAGCAATATATTAAACCCCCAGTTGTAAGTAATTGTGTGTTTTTCCTAAATAGTGCCTTTTAAAATTGCATTTCCTCAAAACGCTTGAATTATGCAGGGTGTTGGAAACATGAAAGCAGGCACGGCTTACACGCTCTGAACAAATATCTGCCCTTTTATTGGCAATCAATCTCGCCATCAGAGGGACAAAATAGACAATTACAAACCTTGCAGGGCAGAATTTACGGGGCTGAGTCGGGCTAAAGCAGGAATGGGTTGTTAATTCTTAAGAACCGTCGGTTTGCACGGGTTGTCATCACGTATTAATTGGGTTTTTATGGGGTTTTGGCATCACAGATCTTATTGGGTGGGAGTTTTTATCGTTGGTTTTCTGGGGCAGAGAGGCGCTTTTTCACTTCAGGATTTGAGTTTAGTCAAAAAATTAAAGTTCAGTAAGAGGGGTCTGGAGTGGAGGGAGAGGAGGAAGAAGGACAGAGCACCAGGAGAGGAAGGACAGAGCACCAGGAGAGGAAGGACAGAGAACCAGGAGAGGAAGGACAGAGCAGCAGGAGAGGAAGGACAGAGGAAGGACAGAGCACCAGGAGATGCTCCATGGCAGAGCAGGGACAAATCCATAGGGAACGTGGCTCAGGGATAGTGCAGGAGACAGGACAGAGAAGGAAGATCCAAATATGACCATATATATTAAAAAAAA